TATATATATATATATATATATATAAAATTGTATTTTGTTTATGTTATTTTATGTATATTATATTATATGTAATATAACTGAAATGATTTAAAATAGTTTACATTTTTATTTAGTTTTTGTGTTTTTTAATTTATAATTTTTTTATATACTTGCATTTTTGTATTTTCTGTAGTATTGTTGTTGCCGCCTCCATGTCGTGAAGACGCTGTGTGATTCGTTGAAATTCGTGAAAGCGAAACTACTTTGTTTGGTCTTCCAAAAGAGGACGATATCTGCTTCGTCATGCCTGGAGCTGATCCGTGCTGGTTGCTGAGGAAATACTACAACTTTGCGCTGTGGATCGCCGGATCGGCTTTCACCGTGGACGAAGCGGAGTCCAGCCCGGAGTCGTCACATGTCCTTCCGGAAGCTCCTTCGTCGAAATCGCCGGCCGCGCCGTTCTCAAGCCCGCCGCCTGTGCTTACTCTAACCCTCCGGTCATTCCTCACACTAGCCCCTGGCCTCTGCTCACTCTAGGCCGCCGTGTGTGACGCTGTTTCGTTGTGAAAGCGAAACTACTTTGTTTGTTCTTCCAATAATGGACACGACTAGAAATCAGTGGTATTTACAACACTGTTCCAGAACCCTTCAACCCAAATATTCAAATGTGTGCAGCACATTTTATGGAGGACTGTTTTCTGATCCTGGGAGAGTAGACTACAATGCCGGCTGTTCTGACTCAAAGACTGTAAGTACGTTTTTTATATTTAAAGAGTTTATATATTTTATATATTTACAGTGAGTTTTTTGGGCAGTGTAGAGTAGGGCTTGTTGTTTGTCATTTCTCCGATCACAAATGCAGACATGGTTTTATGTTTACGCGGCGCGATGCAACGCAACGCGTAAAAAGACAGTATAAGTCATTATAATCCATAATTATGTCCCCACAACGCACTGGATAGCTGGCCAATCACAGCACACCTCGCTTTTCAGACCGATGAGCTTTGTAAAAATCGACGCGTTTCAAAAAGGCGGGGCATAGAGGAGAAACAATAATATACAGTATGTGGAAAATAATGTTTTTTTTACCTTAAACCGCATAAACACATTTCATTACACCAAATACACAAAATAATGTTCTTTTTAGCAGCATCATATGACCCCTTTAACATTATGTATATTATAATATGATATATTATATAATTGAGTTTTTAAACTAGTTTTAAAATGCTTCCTAAATATATTTTTATTTTATTTTATATTATATATATTCTAAAACCATTTAAATATTATAATACACAATATAATATATCATATATTACATTCATACAAAATACTCTTTATAAAGCTGAGTCTACAATGATTTCTGTGTAGGCATTCGGGCCCATTTATTGCTCTACTAATCTACTCAAACCATCCAGAAAACGCTCTCTGATAGTTCCTTTCTACTAGAGAAAACAGTGTGTGTGGCCGTCACAATAACACAGGAAATAGATTTGTCCCTTGCATCTGGTTTCTGCTCATTTGAGTGTTGAAGCCTCTAATGCCTCATCCTTCAGCATGGACATTTAAACCTGGCCTGACTCGCTTCAACGCTCAACCCTGTACATGCAATATGGAAAATCCACCCATGCAGTTTTTCAACCCATCGTGCATGGAGTGCCAAGAAGAAAACACAAAAAAACATGAATCACGGATTGTGAAAATGACATGAGATGATGAAGTGAATGGTGAATGGCATGAGGGTGGCAATGGTAAGCCAAGAATCCAGCCGAATCTTCCACTCAACTCTAAAAGTTTTTCCGGCAACATCATCCACAAACTCCGACATCCAGCATGATCAGAAAACATTGAAAAAACGTTTGCCCGCTTGCTCTCAGGTGCTAGTGCACCACATATGCAGTTTATCTAGCTAAAAATAACCAAAGAATGAACATCTGGCAGTCTGGTATGATATTCCATAACCCGTCCCAATAGAAACATGTTTAAAATGATCAACATGAATATATTACGTAATGCCTCCAATTCCAAAGGGGGAAATTATAACTAGACTATTTACTAGATTTTGAGAAGCTCTTGTAGATGCTGGTTTCCTTTGGCAAGATGCAGGGGTTTTACAAAGTTTTCTAACCTCAGTGAGCACAGGAAGGGCTCTGGAGAAGCAGAATATGTTAAATGTACATAACATCATCTGCTTAAATCACATCTAATTCTGGATTGTGATGCAATGAACCTCCCTAAACAGGAAGTGCTGCAGGCCGTCTCACTGACTGTGTCTGTTTGGGGATAAAACAGAATAAAGATAAACACAAGTCTATTATAGAGTTCGACAGATATCTATTTGGCCACTTTGAAGCTAGTCTTAGTCGGTCTATGGATGGACTGATATAATTCATTTTCAATACAAATTTATTTAAGCCAGTCTACTATTGTGGTATCAAATAAATAGTCTATATATTCTAATATTTATAGTAATTATACATAATATATCCAAAAATATATTAATAAACCATTTTAAATCTATTTTAAAAACTCTTACCAGACATTGTTCAACTGCAAACACTAATATTAACAGTGAAGGAGTAAGAAATTATTCAAATTATATATATAAATATATATATATTTGTAGTAGCACAGTAACAAAATATCTGTTAAGAGCGTATACCAAGTCTGCATTTTTTGTTATATTATGTATATTATTATTAATATAAATATTATATTATTTATGTGCTGTTTAGAGGTGAGATCATCTAAAATATTTGAATATTTTTTCATTGAATATTATTAAAAAGACAAAAACTTTGAAAAGCTACTTTTGTACACTCTTAATAGACACTGTTCTATTGCAAACATTAATATTGAACAGATTTTAAATGTTTTAATAATATATTTTGTTATATTACGCATAAATAATATAAATATTACACTATATATATATATATATATATATATATATATGTATATACAGTATAAATATATACAAAAATATTTTAATAAACAATTTAAAAACTATTTTACACTCTCTTAACAGACTTTGTTTTACTGCAAATATTAATATTTTAAGTATAGTAGTTATGCTAAATATTATACCATTCAAAGAAAATACTCAAATATTTCAGATATTCACCCTCAACCAGCACATAAAAGCAAAACGAACTGTGATTGCACACTTAATATCTCTGTCAGAAATATTTACGCAAGCTAATCCAAATGGCCCGGTCATGTGACGACCAATAAGACTTCAATAAAGATTTTAAAGTCAATCAAATGCCAAATCCCATTTCAAGGTCGATTTCATGAAAGAACTAAAAAAAAAAGAAAAAAAAAAGGATTTGCCAATAGAAATATCACATTCATTGGCCTCAACTTGCCCTAAATCAGCAGGTATTTACTTTATTCAGAAACCAAGGTTAACAAAATAAAAGTCTATGCAGATCTCTCTTAAATCAAGTCAAAGATCCAACGAAATGTTCTCCTGTAATGTCTGCGTGACTAAATATAGTGAACTATAGTGAGTGTGAACGTGTTCAGCTCCATGTCAGCGAGGGGCCAGAGAAAGAGCTCCAGTTGACACAACAGCAGCTCCAGGACTGCTGTGACGTTACTAGTGTTAGTGAAGGTTCCCTCCGGAGAAGCAGTGGAGAGCCAGCTGGTTTCCATTAGCATACCTCAGCTAGTGAGTGGGGGTCCTGGCTTCATGCGGGGGATGCTAACACCCGGATAAATGAGAGGATAGTCATGCAGACTGGCCCTCGGGACTGCAGCCAAATCACGCTTGATGACGGGGGATTTGAGCTGCTTTGAGCTCGCCGACAGAACAAACACACTCATGTTTTGGAACATATTTGAGTGTTGTTTGACAAACTGATACAAGGCTTATATAACTAGCTGGTATGGGAATTCGTATCGAAGCCCGTTTCTGCCAAAGGATTAAAAGAAAGAAAAAAAAAGGGCTAATTGCAACTTTTTCAGACTTTTTCTCTAAATTCTGACTTTGCAATTTTGGAATAAGACTGAATTTTGGAATAAAATGGATACATTTAAAAAAAATGGTACTTGCATGATGCCACAGTTCAGACTTTTTTCGCAATTCCAAGTTATATATCTCACCATTCGGACTTTTCTTCTCAGAATTGTGAGTTTATATCTTGCAATTCTGAGTTTATGCATCACAATTCTGACTTTAAAAAATAAATAAATAAATAATAATAATAATGACTTTTTATCTTTGGAATAAAATGGATACATTTAAAAAAAATGGTACTTGCATGATGTCACAGTTCAGACTTTTTTCGCAATTCCAAGTTATATATCTCACCATTCGGACTTTTCTTCTCAGAATTGTGAGTTTATATCTTGCAATTCTGAGTTTATGCATCACAATTCTGACTTTAAAAAATAAATAAATAAATAATAATAATAATGACTTTTTATCCCACAACTTTTATTCTTTGCGGTCCGAATTGTGAGATAAAAAGTCGGAATTAAAAAAAAAAAAGTATCCGTGGTGGAAACAACCATTCATATTTTAAGCATTATTCAGAGTGAATCTGTACATTTCTATCTGCATAATTTTGGATATTGACTATTTATAGTAAAGTATCTAATAAGCAATGACAGTCACCCTAAACAGTACACTATAGTAATTCACTAATCAAGTCAGCAAGCTAGTTGTACATAAAATACATTGAGAAGTTTGGGGTCAGTAAGATTTTTTTTTTTTTTTTAGGAAATTAATAATTTTATTCAACAAAGATTGATCAAAAGTGACATTAAAGACATTTAAAATGTTACAAAAATTTCAAATAAATGATGTCCATTTCCTAATTTAACAAAATATGATTTCCACAACAATATGAAGCAGCACAACTGTTTTCAACATTGATAATAACAACAACAATAATAATAGTAATAATAATAATAATGCAGCAAATCAGCATACTAGAATGATTTCTGAAGGATCTGAAACTGAAGACTGGAGTAATGATGCTGAAAATTCAGCTTTGCATCACATGAATGAATTACATTTTTACATTGTATTTTAAATTATAATAATATTTCATTTTTTATCAAAGAAATGCAGCCTTGGTGAGAGAGAGACTTTTTTCTTAAGCCTAAAAAAAAAAAAAAACGTACAGACCCCAAAGGTAAATGCTAGTGTAATTATGAGCTGCTACACTGCTCAGTGCGAACAAAAACGTCCTGACAATATTCATAATAAAACCGCAGTAAAGCCATGCATGGCATGATCAGTTTAAACAATCTTAAAACCCGTCATAAGCACAGATACTTTTCTTACACAAACTTTAAACAGAACAGCCCTGCTAATGCAAACAGTTCTCACAAACGCACAAAGAATACCATGCAATAAAAGTACATCTCACTTCCATACGGCTGACAGGTTAATTCTAAGCTGCGCTAACAAGGTCAATTAACTTCAGACTAAGCTTTAAGTGTTTGCTATGATTATACCATTGCTATGCATACTGTGTACGTTGGAGTATAACTGAATTCATTCTAAAATTAGCACTGCAAATTCAATATCGGATTAGATTTACATGTTCTGAAGAAACCGTGAGAGATGTTTGCACATGCAAAACACGCCGTCTAAAGTGTTGTGGGATGAGATACACACCAAAGCACCACTAAAAAAAGTAGTGGATACCAGAGGATAACAGATAAGACAGCAGTTTTCTCCACATGGAGCTAATAAAGACTCCACCTGGATGGAAACACTTGTAAACCTTTCTTTGTGGGACATTCCGACTGTAATTTAAGCAAGGCACAGCAGTTCCTCCACTGACAGACAGGATTCACGTCAAATCTACCGAAACAAGTGTGGCCTTCCAGATAAATGAGTGTCTTTACTTCAGACGAAGGCTGTTTATGCTGCTTGATCCATTAAGGATCACCCAGTGAGATTTGCCTGCCCACCCAGAACACGAGGACAACCTTTTGACAACATTAAGTTCAAATTATCACACGTTAACCAGCCATTTAAACATATATACCTGTATTTGTGATTCCCTGGTCCAACACAGTTGCTTCAAAACACTTAAATGTCAAATAAACTATGCTGACTCATTAGACCACAAGTGAAAAAGATGCAATAAACAAGCAGCGCTCTGATTATTTAGGGCCTGAGAAAGAGACTGTAGGGTGTTTGATCAAATGTACACACACAATGACAGATGTGGACACAAATCAGCATTGCCTACAAACAAGATGAAATATCAAGATGCATTACATCTCCACTTCACTACAGCACAGATACATTCATTGAACTTTAAAAGTTCAAGCAGGACATTTAAGGGTCATTGTATAAAGATTTTTAAAGGCTTTTGCTCAAGGTCCTGACACTACATACTTCTTAGAAAACTGTCCCCTGCTGACAAACCTAACAAAATATAAGACATAGTGCTGAAAAAAAAGAAAAAGTAATTTAAATTGATAATAAAAATAATAAAAAGAAAGATTAAAAATATATAAATATAATTCTTTAAATGTTTTTAAAAATGTTAAAACAAATTATATGGTATTCAAAAATAAAGAAAAATAATAAATATTTAATGTTTTGTATTAATTAATATATATGGTAGTATACTATATATATATATATATATATATATATATATATATATATATATAACACACACACACACACACACATACACACATACACACATACATACACACACACAGTGAGAGAAAGAGAGATTGCAGATCGCGCTGCGCACACACAGAAACATATTGTCAGCGCACCCCGTGACATTTATTCATAAAACAGCCTAGATATTGGATCGCTACATTATATTCCTCAGCAACGAGGTGGCAAAATTGCTGTTTTAGAAGTAACTAAACAGCTTCATTGTTTGTAGTGAGAGATGCGCAGACGCAGGTAATTCACATACACAACTGTCATAGACTCCGTCTGTCTCTCTCAATCAATAATTCATTCAAATAAATGCTATAATTCATTCAAATAAATGTGGTCTTACTGCACTATTTTATCTCTGTGTCTGATTTGAAGCGGGCAGAATGCTAGAGCTAACGAGCCGTACATACATACATATATAAACACATACAGTGGGTACGGAAAGTATTCAGACCCCCTTAAATTTTTCACTCTTTGTTATGTTGCAGCCATTTGCTAAAATCATTTAAGTTAATTTTTTTCCTCATTAATGTACACACAGCACCCCATATTGACAGAAAAACACAGAATTGTTGACATTCTTGCAGATTTATATATATATATACACATTTTAATTAAATACAGTATATATACACTGTACATAGTTTTACCTCAAAATACGCATAGTAAAAGTGCTAGCCATTCAGTTTTAAAGTAATTTTTACGCCTATGTTAATGAAGGAACACAAAAGGCACAGTTTTGTAGAATGACCCTCATCAGTCTTAAAGCTGCAAAAGGAAACCATGTGTGAATGTACTTGAGTAACCCGGCACTCTATTGTCACTGGTTGTATGTTGCTGGTTAATGCATATTTGTATCATGCGCTGTTCCATATAAAGCAAAAACAGGAGCGTGGTATGGGGCGAAACCTTCCTGTAAGAAGCTCCCCTATGGAGAAGTGGCCTGCAGAGGTTCATAAAGCAGTGCCAGTGAAATTTACAGGCTCTGTGTGGGCCTCCTTGTAAGAGCTCAAGCTCCACGTCGCCCTGAGGATACTGACGCTGTGACCGAATGCCGGGATAGCAGCCTATTACCAGAAGACAGACAACAAGAGCCCAACTGTGCGGCCACAATGACGACTGTCTCTCGACAGAGTCGCGAAACAAGGTCTCTCATTAAGAGCGCCGCATTTCAAAGGTAGCTGTTTGTCACCTGATGGTGGGTGTTTCATTTTGATAGCAAGACTTTATTATAGGTCACTTAGCGAAATTCTCTTTTGAGCTCCCACTCGGAAACAAACATATGGATATGTCTGACGTCCTTTGAGGGCAAGACTGCAGTAAATAGCAACACAGTTTGGTCGCTCAAATCTCTCGTATGGCTTCAGTATACAGCACAAGAGTCATTCTCCAACCAGCAACAAATAAAGACTACAGTTTCAAAGCTATTACAGAAAAATTCACATGGACTTATTTGGTGCATGTTGATGGAGTAAAATAAAGTTCAGCAATAAAGTTTGCTTGACCTCCAGCGCAGGGCTGTTTGCAGCACAGGTCATGGGAGAGAAAAACAGCGGGTCAGTTGAGGACAAGTGTAAACAACATCACATGGACCAGCATGAATTCTGTGGTGCTGATACATCCAGACTGAGACCTCTATGACAACGGCCACGTTTAAGTCAACATAAAATGGCATTCACAAGCCATTTACTTTCGTAATATGACATAATTCCCTATGAAATGGTATAATCAATGAGAAACAAAGTATTTTATTATATCAGGAATTGAAAGTATTTTTATAAGTGGGTGTTACATGCCAAATTTGACTACATTAGCATTAATCTTAAAAATTAATGAATAAAAAAATAAATAAATAAATAAAAATGAATTACTGCATTGACATTAATCTGCGTTAAAATGTTTTCTTTTTTTTTACACGCCAAATTTTTCCACGTTAATCTGAAAAATGAATGAATGAATAAATAAAATAACAAAAATACTACATTAACATCAATCTGTTATTTTGTAAGACTAAACTATTGAAAAAAAGCAGATCATTTGCAGAAAAAAACCTTAATATTATCTAATTCAATGATGCTGAATTATAAATATCCCATAACTTATATTTTACAAATTATATATTTATAAATTATAATTTTTCAAATGATATATGTATCAGCTATAATGCACTTATCAAAATAACAAAAGCAGTCATATGTCAAAAGTTTCAATATTCAAAATGTGTCATTTAAATTGCAATCTGCAAAGGAGTGAAAAAAGTGGAAACTGGGATTATGCATAAAATAATGTCTTCAGAATCATTCACATGTGAAAATGGGCTGAGAATTGAACAAACTGGCTCAGAGGAAGACGGGAATCATGTCTCTGTGTCAGTTTTTCTGTGATTAAGAGATAATACAAGACTTCTTCACCTTAAAAATGGCTGTCAAATGCAAAAATGCAACAAAATGCATCATATTTTGTGATAAATTATGATGTGCTAGAGCAAAACGAGCACAATTTTTGTAATTAGCATCGCAAAATTAGAAAGAAACAAGTATTGCATTCAGCAAATAAGATGCAGGGCGGTGCTTTATGAAAGATTTATTCTTTGGGATAACATGCATGAGTGAATGATGCACAATAAGACTAGGAACATGTATTACGGAAGTAAACAGAATAAAGTTTGATTTCATGTTGAGTTTAACGGACAAATCCCAGAAGCCTGAACCTTCGGAGCATGAAGTTCTGGAATATCAGAGGAAAACTCACCCTCACAAAGGACGTGTACTGATGGCACTGCTGTCGGTTGATCTCCAGGCTGAAACGTTGACTTACAGCAACTGTCTGCTCTCCACCGTTTCCAAAATACACCCGCGGCGGCAGACCTTTGTGTCTCTTATCTGAATCTGCGGTTAGATTGTACAGCAACTCTGAGGAGAAAAATAGACACCCACAGTTCAGTAAGACAACAATGTGTAAACATCTCTCAAACACGGTCCGCTTCAAAACTCACTATCAGAAGCATTCCAGGGCAATTTTAGGGATTTAAAAACAACGTCAAGTAAGATGTCAAGTTCCCACTGTCAAAGTCGTGGAAATGAGAGAAAACAGTACAAGAACATTTCTGGGGCCACGTCCAAGAGTTAAATGTTTGTGATTAATTTCTGGAAGTGTGAGAAAACGGCAATGGCATGTAGGAAAAACATGGTTCAAAATGTCTTGATAAATCTCATTAAGAAATGTGTGGGTCATATTTCATCCCAAAATATATTAAAAAAATAATAATCAAATAAAATATAAAATGAATGAAACAAAACACAAAATGCACTGATGAATGTGTGGCTCATGAATGAATGAATGAATAAATAAATAATTAAAATAAAAAATATGAATGAAAATTAAAATTAAAATTTATTGATTTAATGAATGAATGAATGGAAAATAAAATATGAATGAATGAATTACTAGTTAAAAAAATTAAATAAAAGAAAAAAATAAATAGAAGAATATGAATAAAATAAAAATAAATAAGTAAATTCTCATTACTGTAATGCAGTTAAAATGTATTGATTTAGTTTTAAATTAACATTTAATTTATTGCAACAAATACCATTATGATGTGTACTTACAATTGTACTTTACAATTCAAATAATATATTTTTTCATATTATAATAATGAGATTTGCATTACAGACATAAGAACTGAAAGAAAATGTGTTGAATTGTCATGAAAATGTCAAAAAATGAACTTTGGGCTTTTAATTGTTTAATGTCTAAAAAATATGTACTTGCAATTCTTTATATAACTGTGTACGTGACACATAACAATCTTGAATCTTGTAAACATGTTTTAAGTTCTTTATTATGCAAAATATAATTACTTTTTGTTCTTTTGGTTTTGGGATGAAATACGATCCAGACAGCTCTTCGGTGAGATGCATCCATCTACACCTACAGGCTTTTCCAAAAAACAGAAATTGATCAAAAACACAGAACTCTTGGACGCGGCCCCAGAAAGAGCTGCTTTCTTTCCACAACCTGATGAATTTCTTCAGTTTTTGTGAAATTCACCCAGATGAGGTCAAATGTGTAATTGCGGGACCATTGCTCCGATCCTGAAGCTGAGTAAGAGCTATTATTACCCTGCTGCTCTCACAGGGCGTCACTGATAGACCAATGCAGGGGTTGTTGTCTTAATACATCCAGCTGTGAGCGCACCATGAGTGCACTACAGCCTACAGAACCAGGGCGTCACCCAGACACAAGGTGCTGCAGTACTTTCCAACACTGGTGCCAATCAAAAACACAGAACTCTTGGACGCGGCCCCAGAAAGAGCTGCTTTCTTTCCACAACCTGATGAATTTCTTCAGTTTTTGTGAAATTCACCCAGATGAGGTCAAATGTGTAATTGCGGGACCATTGCTCCGATCCTGAAGCTGAGTAAGAGCTATTATTACCCTGCTGCTCTCACAGGGCGTCACTGTAATGATCGGACTCCTGGACCAATGCAGGGGTTGTTGTCTTAATACATCCAGCTGTGAGCGCACCATGAGTGCACTACAGCCTACAGAACCAGGGCGTCACCCAGACACAAGGTGCTGCAGTACTTTCCAACACTGGTGCCAAGTGGAGTAACACTAGTGCTCTGTACTTCCCAGAAACCTCCCATTATGTAACACCCCCTTTATTTACTCCATCTCCCATAAGGCCACACCCACTCAGCGAGCAGTGGCCACGCCCAAAAGTTGAGCAAGCGGCCATTCGCAGCGAATCCCTGTGGCTGCACGGTGTCCATCTTGTCAAGTTAAACAAACACATGCAGTCAAGCTCATTGAGTTGAGTGACAAAAATAGAGCTAGAGGCAACATATCAGAAACAAAACTAGATTTAATGAAAAACAAGTCTTTTCTGAGCAGTTTTAAAAGTGCATTTGGTGAGATCGCTCAACATTATGGGAGGGCCAAAAGTGATCCATAGTGCATTGCTGTTTTTGTATCTAACGTTTGATGATATTTCATAATAGTCTATTCTAGGCACGTCTGCGTGTTGATAGAGTGAAATAAAGGTCAGCAGAACATGCACTGACCTCCAGTTCAGGGCTGTTTGCACCACGGGTCATGAGAGCGAAAAGACAGCGGTTCAGTTAAAAACAAGAGTTATCAAGACTATCTAGTTATGGGTTTAGAGTGTATGCAGACACCTGTCGATTATACATATAGTGTTGTTAAATGTGTAACAATGAACAACAAATAAACAAAAAATGCTATTACATTTTTTTAAATTGTATAAAAATAAAACGAAATTTAAAAAAAATTTAAGATAAAATATCAAACAATAAAATAACATAAAATATTAAATAATAAAAATAAATAATAATAAAATAAAAAATACAATAAAAATAAAATAATAAATTAAAATGTAATTAAATTAAACATCAAAATAAAATAAAATAAAATAAAATAAAAAAGCCCAAAAACAATAATAATAATTCCACAGTGGCTCACCTATGTGGCCAGGTACATGTTTTCCACGAAAGCTCATGCAGACGGTGACGTTGAAGCAGTTGAGATGCGGAGGGCCCTCGTGACACTGCGGTACTGTGATGTTTATCGAGACGGGCAAGAAGATGGAGACGTCCACAGAGATCACCGGCCTGGATCTGTCACAAGCAACAGCAAATAAGGTCAAAGCTACATCTGAATGGATGATTATCAGAGAACATCAACTAGGAACTGATGTAAATACAAGCTTTTGCTGGATCAGAAGTGCACAGCTTACCTTAACAAAACCACACTGTCAGCCATGAACGCCCCTATCGTCACATCTGAAAAAAGGGAAAAAAAGGATAAAGTTTTAGAAATAAAGTTTAGAAGAATAATTACATGCTTTTATACTGTTATATAAACCCTGTGATGCTATGCTGTTAGAAAAGGTGTGCAAAAACTATACTTTTAGCACTATTACATTCCTTCAGAGTAAACTTTCTGGGATGACCCAATGACAAACTGTTGTACCTCTAAAGGTACAATCCAGCGTTGTAATTGTAATTGTAAATAATATTATACAATATTAATTTAAATGTTAAAAAATGCATAAAAAATCTAATTCAATATTTTAATTAATAAAAGTGCCAAAAGAGCAAAACAAATTGATTAAAACAAACTAAAATTAAAATAAAAACATTCAGAATGAATGTTATTCTGAAAATATTCAGAATAATGAATACATTCAAAATATGAATAAACACTATAATAGTATGTAGTTAATCATTAATATTTTTTCAATATTTTTTTTTCTGTAAGTGCAGGGTTTTGCTTGGTCACCAGAACATTACATAGGGTTGTGTACAAATCATTATGACCACTAATTAGTAAACTCTAATGGAATAACGTATTTTATCTTAAAGTATTGTACATGCAAACTGATATATATGACACCGATCAAGCAATTATTTTTTAGTAAAAGATGAAGCCTTCTTTGTTTGATTTTCTCTCATTTTATTTAATCACAGTGTCCACTGTGGAATGCTGTAAACAAAATGCTTGCTGGCCTCAGAACTATGAAATCAGAGCAGACAGAATGTGTCAAAGAATGGTTAAGAAAATTAAACAAACACTCAATCTACATTCCCAGGATTAGCGCAGAATGGAACATTCTCCATCATATAATTAATCCCGTCTTACACAACAGCCTTCTGTGGATGTAAAAAAAGATGAGAAGCATCTTTTGGGCGTTTTCACATCACAAGTCCAGTCACTTTGGATCACATGTTGTGACGAATCACTCATGTCATAAGTTACACATTCAATTTTAATGCTTAGAGGTTTCCAGAATGGAATAAACTCACTGGAGGTCGGTAAAAACGTTACATGTTTCCCATCTTTACGCGGAGATCGCAGAAGGCCAATGTAAGTGGTCTGGCACCCGTCGAGGTTTCTCACTGAATGTGGTCGGTTTTGATCTAGTTAATTCGGAACATTCTCAGTGTTCATTCGAGCAGAACTAGCCAAGTGTCTAAAGCAAAGCCAAACCTGGATATCCATTTCCATCCATGTCCACATTGCCGGAAATTGACTGGCCGAACATTTGGAGGGTGGGGTTGATGCTTCGCCCAGACAATCTCTGCATACGATCCAGGTGAGAGAGAAAAATCACATCAATTAATCAGAAACGCCAGACCAAATCATTAATAAAACATCCATAGATTTCTGAACGCAACGTAGTTCTACACATTCCCCATCACCCACATTCATTTATTAAATATTTTAGCTAATTTGATCAGCTAGTAGTATCAGTGTAGCACTCTCAGCTCCATTTAAGGCATTTTTCCAACTAAATCAGAACAGAAAAAGCACAAAAGCCAGTGGATTCCATCTGGACCTTCTAGTTATCCATCAATCAAACTGTTAAACTGCATGAGCTAAAAGGTTTCTCAATAAAACAAGTGATGCACTGCCAACTAAACCAATCTTTCGGATTTATTTTAATACAGACACAAGTAAAGCTCAATAGCACCATAAATATCCCCCTGCTCTGCATCTCTCTCTCTCTCTCTCTTTCAGCTCAGCTCCAACAATGAACTGTTCCATTTACACACTTATTTTCACATAGCTATGAGAAGCGTTATACATGGCAGTTGCCGTACTGTATTAAAGCTTTAATCAGGATAAAACCGTAGATTCAAAGCTAACATAAGCAGCATTTACAAATAACAGCGTATCTAAAAGTATGAGACAACAACAAACAAAAAACATAGGCCTACCATTAAAAGCCGTGCTTGCACAGGTTCTGCACGATACTCTTCAAAAATATCCTCTGCTTCTCAATCCGGCTCAAACTGATAAGCGATACTAATGACGCCTTTGTTTACAATACAACCGGAGCACATGCTACTGAGGTGAGGGGCGGGACGTTTAGACGCACTAGAGGCGGTTTAGCCAATCACAACACACTGGGTTAGCTAACCAATCAGAGCCCATCGCCTATTTCTGAGGGTGGGGCTTCATAAAAGAAGGAAATGATCAGCGTGTTAATAGGAGAAGGGACAGAGCGGTGTGGAATAAAGGTAAATTATGTGAAAAATATGTTTAAAAACAAAGCATTAACACATGTTAGACTGCACCCCATAAACACAATCAAGCCTAGAAAAAACCCAGTGAACCACCCCTTTAATACAGACACCAGTCAAGCTCAATAGCACCATAAATAAATTAAGAATCTAAACAAATGGTCTACAGTACTGTTGAGAGCTGACAACGTAAAAATAAATAAATAATAAATAAAATAACATTCACATGGTGGTATTTGTATTCATGTCTCTAAATCAAGTGTTGTTGAATGTGTAGCAAATTAAACAATTTAAATATAATACAATTCTAAAACAAAATAAATAATAAAATAAAAATCTTAAATAATAAAAATAAAATAAAAACAATATTAATTAAAAAAATTAATTAAATAAAATGTAAAAATATTTACATTTTAAATTTAATTTAAATATTTTTTATTATTATTTTAATTTATTTACATTTTAAAATTTAAACATTTAAATTTAAAAATACATTACATTAATAAAATAAGATAAAATAAAATAATTCTAAAACAAAATAAATAATAAAATAATTCTAAAACAAAATATTAAATGATAAAATATAATAAAATTAAACAATGAAAAATAAATTACAATAAATTAAGTTACCATTGAGTACTTGTTAACTATTCCTGTAGCATCACCATGGTAGATGTAGACAGCTCCTCCATAGTCATCCTCTTTGGGGGCTCCAATAGCTACATCTACAGCACAAAAGACAAACCCAGAAGTCAATAAGAAAGATGGAACCTCTTTAAAACCTCTTTTTTTTTTTTTTACTGTTGGGCAAACTTGTCTAAACTTGACTACAAGTCTTGTAGTCTTAATGGGCTACCAGTTTTAGTTGATGTTATTGTACAGTCTGACAATATAGAGTCGTCACACAGTCTGCCTTGGCTTTTACTCAAGATCTTATTGAGCTCATACAGTCTGAAAAGCAACAATCGTAAAAGTTAGAACAAAATAGCATAGTGTGCAGCCGAATTAGGTCAGACTGCCAGAGACCTACGACTGGAATAGAAACGCTAGTGGTGGATTTGTGTGTGTCAGGACCCCAATAAATGCCTGTTTGCTTGAAGCCCATCTCTGTTTGAGAGACGCTCTGCTAAGTCACTTACGTGTTTTTGAGAGCCTGTAAAGGTCTGTGAAACTTCAGGGGGGTTGAAATCGAGTCAGAAAAAAATCCTTTGTGCAGGAAAACAGCAGTACACATATTTTGAATGTGCTGAGTTCTGGAAACTTTTATATTTCTGTACTAGCACAAAAGCTATAAATCTGAATCACCAGCTTTTGCCATGTAAGACTGAGACAGTTTACTGGCTTATTTACAAGCAAAACCTTTACATTTATGCATATATACTTTACATCCATTAGTGTTTAGGGTTTGAGGTCGGTGAGATTTTTTTTATGTTTTTGAAAGAAGTCTCTTATGCTCATCAAGGCTGCATTTATTTGATCAAAAAAATAAAATAAAAACAGTAAAATTGCAAAATATTATTACAATTTAAAATAAATGTTTTCTATTTGAATATACTGAAAATGCAATTTATTCCTGTGATGTAAAGCTGAATTTTCAGCATCATTACTCCAGTCTTCAGTGTCACATGATCCTTCAGAAATCATTCTAATATGGTGCTCAACATTTACATTTAGTCATTTTGCAGACACTTTTATCCAAAGCGACTTACAATTGGGGAATACATAAAGCGATTCTTCTTAAAGAGGCAAACAGACACAGGAAGTGCTTGTAATACCAAGTTTCAGGCATGTTCACATAAGTACAAGCTAGAAAGGGAAGGAATAAATCAAGAGAAAGACAAAGTTTAATTTAGGATGAAGTCAAGTAGCGTCGAAAGAAACGAGTTTTCAGCTGTCGCTTATTGGGTCAAGAAACATTTCTGATTATTATCAGTGTTGAAAACAGTTGGACGGCTTAATATTTTAGAAAACTTTTGTAACATTATAAATGTATTTACTGTCAATTTATTGCACGCTTGCTAAATAAAAGTATTAATTTCTTTCAAAAAGAAAAAAAATATCTTCCTGACCTAAAAAAAAGACCCAATAAGAGGCGGGTCAAATGGAGACAGGTTAACCTCTTGTAATCTCTTTATGGTTACAGCCTCCTAAAGGAACATTTACTACCACACTGACCCCTGAACAGTTCATCACAGATGCTTCTCACTACATATATGCACTACCATTTCTGTACAAGGATTTCTGATTGCTTGAATTGGTTTCTTGTTCTAAGCATTGACAACCCCCTCGTCGGAAAGATTCACTTCCTGTTTAATCTGACACATTGGTCTCCACTTATCAGATATTCCTCAGGCCATTTTAATGAGCTTCATCAGCTCTAATATCTCATTTCCACATTAATGGATGCGTTTGGTCTGTTTATTATGTGATGGTCAGCCTCCCTATACAGTTTCAGTAACAGCTACTGTATGAGAACAGGCTGTACTAAAATTACAAAAAAAGATGCGACATGCAGAAAGTAGCGCTATAATCAAGCAATACATCAGGTGAAGAGCGAAACCAGACGCCAAGAAAAGCCTCCGACAGGACAGCGGGGTGCCAGGAAAATCGAAAGTGAGAACACTAGTCGCAGAGGAGATATCTGAGGTTTGAATCTGCTTCACATCGAAATATCTTTTCCAGTTACTTGACAAACAATGTCTGTCTATCTCCAATACAGCGGAAATATGATTTTTGTGCTGCTGCGATCATTTGAATTAAAGGAATATTCCAGATAAACACAACTTGACGTGTACAGTAACACACTTACAATGCACGGCTGAATATTTAAAACAGTCCAACTACCGTTCAAAAGTTTGGAGTCGATTTTTAAATGGTTTTTAATCAAGGCTTCATTTATTTGATCATAAATACAGTAAAAACTGTAATATTGTGAAATATTATTTTAATTTCAAATAACTGTTTTCTATTTGAATATATTGTCAAATGTAATTTATTCCTGTGATGTAAAGCTTTTGTACACTGACCTTGGTAGCCATCTTCATCAATGTCCCCAAGAGATGTGATACACTCTCCAAAATGAGCATTGTATGCATTATCACCATTCAGTATAGCAACTTCCTCCATCACTCCCTGAACAAACAAGTACAAAAAACATTGTTTATACTCAAAACATTTGTCAAGTTGCATGAAGACATTTACCTTCACATTTAAGTCTTGGTCATTTATGGCATAATGCAACTTGGTAATTTATAGCATAAGGCATACGAATACCAAACTTTAGTGCCATTCAAGTGTTGTTTATGACAAAATTGGCATCTTTAAAGGAAAATTCACCCCCAAAATTAAAATTTGCTGATCCAAGATGTAGATGAATCTATTCCTTCATCAGAACAGATTTGGAGAATTTTAGCATTGCATCACTTGCTCACCAATGGATGCTCTGCAGTGAATGGGTGCCGTCAGAATGAGAGTCCAAACAGCTGATAAAAACATCACAATAATCCACAAGTAATCCACACCACTCCAGTCCATCAGTTAACATCTTCTGTAAAGTTAAAAGCTGCGTGTTTGTAAGAAACAAATCCATCATTAAAACTTCCAGCTAAAATGCAAGTTCTCTATCCACAATATTGCTCTCTCCAGTGAAAAAGTTGTCTCTTCTGAATCAGGAGTGAAATATGATTAGATCAAGCACCATTTACAAGTGAATACAGTCCAAAACAGCTCTAAACAAATATGTGGGTGGATTTTGATGTGCGATGACAACAGGGGATGGACTTTTTTTCTTTTTTTTACTGGAGGAAGCGTTATTATGGATTATGGACCTGTATTTTGGCCAGAAGTGAGGGATTAAAGTTGAAATGCCTTAATGATGGATTTTTCCCTTCCAAGCAGGTAGATTTTCACTTCACTAGATGTTAATTGATGAACTGGAGTCTTGTGGATTATTGTGATGTTTTTATCAGCTGTTTAGACTCTCATTCTGACTATCAATCATTTTATCCAAATCTGTGAAGAAACAAACTCATCAACATAGATGGCCTGATGGTACTTTCAGCTCATTTTTGGGTGAACTTTAAAAAAGTAACACAGATGTAAGTTAACTCACATTGCCACTGCTGAGGTAAACAGAAACCTGGCCTTCATCCCGGATCTTGCTGTGCATGGGTGCTCCCACCAGCAAGTCCGACAGTCCGTCTGCGTTTAGGTCAACTGCACACAATGAGGAGCCAAAGTAAGAGCCCATCTGAAACCAAGCCGAGCCAAGAGCAAACGGGTCAGATTACAACGCCATGCACAGGGCACATCACCCCTCCATAAGATGCATTACCTCATTCAATTCCCTTTGGAAGAAAGTCAAGCTACAATTTAGCTACGCTGCCCCATATCTGAACGTACATGAATGAGATCTGAGAGCTGGTTTTCAGCTAACAACTGAATTTTTTGTCATTTTTCTAACACAAAACTTGGTATATAGAGCATGAGTCATATATAGTACTTTAACCCTGTAAAGGCTGACTTATGAAATAATAGTCAGAATATTTTTTTTTTGGAAATGGAAGTGTTTATCCACCTTATTTTTCCCGCAAGAGCGGGCGCAGCCATTTGTACATTTTATGGGTCTGGTTTCCGGTGTAATTCGCTTTCAGCTATTTTTAACTGTACAAAACAGCTCGTTTTGCTGCTTGATATTGCAAACTGGTATGTCTTACCATATTATTTTAATGCATTATCTTAATTATGAACACACTGGTTTGTAGTGCAAACAGTTTTACCGTTTGCTGCACTTTGTTATTCTTCTCGTTATTTCCCTACAGCGGCTAATGAACCGGAAGTCTCGCACATTCACAGAAAATGGCTTACTTCCGCGTTGAAAAATAAGGTGGATTGAACCTTTAGACAAAAAATGTAAAAACATTGTGTATTTTGCAGAGTATCATATTTTGTACATCAGGCTTTTATTTGGTGCAATTGCTGATATTTAGATGGCCAAAAAAATAAGATAAAATAAATAATTAAGAAAATAAATGAGATCTTTATAACAGTATAGCAGATTGCTTGCATAAATTTCACATAAATATCAGTTGTCACCTCATATCTCCCAATCATATGTCTTCGTAAGATGGTATAGATTTATGATCAGAGCTCTGTAGTTTCAAAACATATAACACATTGCAATACAATGATGACTGAGAGATGAACACAAACATTCCTCAAAAGCCTGATGATCATATTTGATAATCAGTAAATGTTTTTGTAAACCAAAAAGCGTGAACCAAGTGAAGCAAGACCTGAAGGTGGTGTTTTTAAAATGACAGTAAAAGGCCTTTTACTTGCTAAAAAACGATCAATCAGATGACAGAAGGCATGAAGTAGAATGTGTACAGCAGGTTTTAACAACATTTTGATCATGTTGATAATCAGAGGCCTTAGAAAACTGTATCAAATATGATACAGTAAGCTTTATAGAGAAAATTGTGCTTTTTGCCTTTTTAGGGTTTAAACGGTACCAGTGTCCCTACAAATTCTCCAAAACAACTCTTTCTGTGTTCTTCAGAAAAGATAACTTTTCCTATTAAGGAACTATGGCGGATTATATAAACGTTTTACATTTGGCATAAATTATGTTTGTAAATACTTAGAAAACCTGAGCATCATACTCACCATTTTCCCTGAGGCTTGAAAGGTCTTCACAAGAGATGCTCCTTCAATTCTGAAGATGTAAACCTAAAACATGGATGACAATGTAGTTTTGGAATGTCAAAGTGAGTGTAATGTAAACAAAACCTGGAACCAATGATGCAAATTCTGCAAGAAACCACTCACTTTTCCAACACCACTGTCTTGAGGAGCACCAGCTGCCACGTCTATGGTATTCGGGGAAGAGAAGTGACCAGCTGTCACAGCATACCCTAAAACACAAATCTGTGATGGACTGACTACAGCATGGAACACTGAAGCAGTTATTAATATCTGAGCAGGTATTACCGAGGTAACTGTATCTGCGAGGACTCAGGTTGTCTTGATTAAGGTTGTAGTGAGTATTGGATGTCATGTTAAACACTTTGACTGTTCCGGTCCAGTAATAAGAACCAGGCGCACCCATGATAACCAGCTCCTAGAAAACAACATAAAAAGCAATAGATATCCATTCAAAAAGCCACCAACTTTTCATCAGGCTTCAGCAGATTTTCTTATGACTCAAAGAAGTTACATTTGAAATCATAGGAGAAAAACAAAGCGCTGTTGGTGAGGCTCTGGTCAACCGAAAGCCACAAACGATGCTGTATTATCTGTTGGTAACCCAACCATGAGCTGAAAGGACGGCTGTCGTTCATCGCTTTGATCACTCAATGGAGTCTTAAGCTGAAGGAGAACTCAAGCCTTTGAACTGTTTTAATTGCTCCACATATTTTGTGACACTTTGTGAATGTGTAACTCCAGAAGAGAAGTCTACTGTATGTGCAATTAATATAATATAATATATCATATCATATATAATATACTGATGTTCAAAAGATTTGAGGTCAGTTAGATTTTTTTTTAAATAAATGACTTTTTAAATAATAAAATTAAGTTTTATTTTGAAATAATTGCTGTTATTTTGAACTTTCTAATAATCAAAGAATCTTGAATAAAAATGTGTCATAGTTTCCACAAAACTATGAAGCAGCACAACTGTTTTCAACATTGATAATAATCAGAAATGTTTCTCGAGCAGTAAATCAGCATATTAGAATGATTTCTGAAGGATCATGTGACACTGAAGACTGGAGATATGATGCTTTTTTTTTACTGGAGGAAGCGTTATTATGGATTATGGACCTGTATTTTGGCCAGAAGTGAGGGATTAAAGTTGAAATGCCTTAATGATGGATTTTTCCCTTCCAAGCAGGTAGATTTTCACTTCACTAGATGTTAATTGATGAACTGGAGTCTTGTGGATTATTGTGATGTTTTTATCAGCTGTTTAGACTCTCATTCTGACTATCAATCATTTTATCCAAATCTGTGAAGAAACAAACTCATCAACATAGATGGCCTGATGGTACTTTCAGCTCATTTTTGGGTGAACTTTAAAAAAGTAACACAGATGTAAGTTAACTCACATTGCCACTGCTGAGGTAAACAGAAACCTGGCCTTCATCCCGGATCTTGCTGTGCATGGGTGCTCCCACCAGCAAGTCCGACAGTCCGTCTGCGTTTAGGTCAACTGCACACAATGAGGAGCCAAAGTAAGAGCCCATCTGAAACCAAGCCGAGCCAAGAGCAAACGGGTCAGATTACAACGCCATGCACAGGGCACATCACCCCTCCATAAGATGCATTACCTCATTCAATTCCCTTTGGAAGAAAGTCAAGCTACAATTTAGCTACGCTGCCCCATATCTGAACGTACATGAATGAGATCTGAGAGCTGGTTTTCAGCTAACAACTGAATTTTTTGTCATTTTTCTAACACAAAACTTGGTATATAGAGCATGAGTCATATATAGTACTTTAACCCTGTAAAGGCTGACTTATGAAATAATAGTCAGAATATTTTTTTTTTGGAAATGGAAGTGTTTATCCACCTTATTTTTCCCGCAAGAGCCCGCAGCCATTTGTACATTTTATGGGTCTGGTTTCCGGTGTAATTCGCTTTCAGCTATTTTTAACTGTACAAAACAGCTCGTTTTGCTGCTTGATATTGCAAACTGGTATGTCTTACCATATTATTTTAATGCATTATCTTAATTATGAACACACTGGTTTGTAGTGCAAACAGTTTTACCGTTTGCTGCACTTTGTTATTCTTCTCGTTATTTCCCTACAGCGGCTAATGAACCGGAAGTCTCGCACATTCACAGAAAATGGCTTACTTCCGCGTTGAAAAATAAGGTGGATTGAACCTTTAGACAAAAAATGTAAAAACATTGTGTATTTTGCAGAGTATCATATTTTGTACATCAGGCTTTTATTTGGTGCAATTGCTGATATTTAGATGGCCAAAAAAATAAGATAAAATAAATAATTAAGAAAATAAATGAGATCTTTATAACAGTATAGCAGATTGCTTGCATAAATTTCACATAAATATCAGTTGTCACCTCATATCTCCCAATCATATGTCTTCGTAAGATGGTATAGATTTATGATCAGAGCTCTGTAGTTTCAAAACATATAACACATTGCAATACAATGATGACTGAGAGATGAACACAAACATTCCTCAAAAGCCTGATGATCATATTTGATAATCAGTAAATGTTTTTGTAAACCAAAAAGCGTGAACCAAGTGAAGCAAGACCTGAAGGTGGTGTTTTTAAAATGACAGTAAAAGGCCTTTTACTTGCTAAAAAACGATCAATCAGATGACAGAAGGCATGAAGTAGAATGTGTACAGCAGGTTTTAACAACATTTTGATCATGTTGATAATCAGAGGCCTTAGAAAACTGTATCAAATATGATACAGTAAGCTTTATAGAGAAAATTGTGCTTTTTGCCTTTTTAGGGTTTAAACGGTACCAGTGTCCCTACAAATTCTCCAAAACAACTCTTTCTGTGTTCTTCAGAAAAGATAACTTTTCCTATTAAGGAACTATGGCGGATTATATAAACGTTTTACATTTGGCATAAATTATGTTTGTAAATACTTAGAAAACCTGAGCATCATACTCACCATTTTCCCTGAGGCTTGAAAGGTCTTCACAAGAGATGCTCCTTCAATTCTGAAGATGTAAACCTAAAACATGGATGACAATGTAGTTTTGGAATGTCAAAGTGAGTGTAATGTAAACAAAACCTGGAACCAATGATGCAAATTCTGCAAGAAACCACTCACTTTTCCAACACCACTGTCTTGAGGAGCACCAGCTGCCACGTCTATGGTATTCGGGGAAGAGAAGTGACCAGCTGTCACAGCATACCCTAAAACACAAATCTGTGATGGACTGACTACAGCATGGAACACTGAAGCAGTTATTAATATCTGAGCAGGTATTACCGAGGTAACTGTATCTGCGAGGACTCAGGTTGTCTTGATTAAGGTTGTAGTGAGTATTGGATGTCATGTTAAACACTTTGACTGTTCCGGTCCAGTAATAAGAACCAGGCGCACCCATGATAACCAGCTCCTAGAAAACAACATAAAAAGCAATAGATATCCATTCAAAAAGCCACCAACTTTTCATCAGGCTTCAGCAGATTTTCTTATGACTCAAAGAAGTTACATTTGAAATCATAGGAGAAAAACAAAGCGCTGTTGGTGAGGCTCTGGTCAACCGAAAGCCACAAACGATGCTGTATTATCTGTTGGTAACCCAACCATGAGCTGAAAGGACGGCTGTCGTTCATCGCTTTGATCACTCAATGGAGTCTTAAGCTGAAGGAGAACTCAAGCCTTTGAACTGTTTTAATTGCTCCACATATTTTGTGACACTTTGTGAATGTGTAACTCCAGAAGAGAAGTCTACTGTATGTGCAATTAATATAATATAATATATCATATCATATATAATATACTGATGTTCAAAAGATTTGAGGTCAGTTAGATTTTTTTTTAAATAAATGACTTTTTAAATAATAAAATTAAGTTTTATTTTGAAATAATTGCTGTTATTTTGAACTTTCTAATAATCAAAGAATCTTGAATAAAAATGTGTCATAGTTTCCACAAAACTATGAAGCAGCACAACTGTTTTCAACATTGATAATAATCAGAAATGTTTCTCGAGCAGTAAATCAGCATATTAGAATGATTTCTGAAGGATCATGTGACACTGAAGACTGGAGATATGATGCTGAAAATTCAGCTTTGTATCACAGAAATAAATTATATTTAAAAAATATATTCAAAAAGATACCAGTTCTTTTAAATTGTAATAATATTTTACAATATTACTATTTTTACTGTATTTTTGATCAAACAAATGCAACCTTGATAAGCATAAGAGACTTCTTTCAAAGACATTAAAAATCTTACTGATCCCAAACTTTCAAACAGCACTGTCAAAAGTCAATAGATTTATATTGTTTATTTTATTTTATAATTTTTTTAAACCGGCAATGGTTAGAACCCTTAAAAAAATCCCTATTAAGAAAACAGAATGGAAAAAATACTTGTGAAACCAAGCCACTACAAAAGTTGCGGGTCCCTGTTGTGCTCTAATCGAAATACAGTATATAATTCAAAAAATGCACAATTTGTCAAATATTTAGCTCTGAATCTTTGGTGGAAAAAACCTTTCCCCTTTTTCTGATAGCCATTATCTCAGAGGATACAAATAAAAAAGTGTGGGCACATGGAATACCCCTCATGTGACGAGGAAATTGGGTCTTTATGTAGTTCTTTTGAGTTCTGACAAGCCACAAATGGATGCATTTCACAATGCCTGACTGCTAAAAAACCCCCACACAAATGCTATTTGACTCGTTCAGTCCTGCCAAACACGTAAAAAACAGCACCTCCAGCTGAGCCGTCAACATTCACTCAAGAATGAAGACATCTGTTTTAGACGCTTAAGGTCTTGAAGGTCACTTAAGACGTTCTGCCAAATGATAAAGTGCCATTACCATCCGAACTACAAAGCAGCCGATGCAGATGCCATTCTGCTATGGGTTAATTCCTCTCTGACTGAATTGAGGTTAGCTTTAATGCAACAAGACAACAATAGCTCTGTTTCAAAACCTAGTGAATTGGGGAGGGAGTGAGTTTCCAGTCATATTTCAAAAAGCAAATTGAAGAGGGTCAGAGATAGGCTTGCCGCGATAGACGGTGCTTAAGGTGATACCGGTGTTAAGCCGCAACACCGGTTACGTCACATGCCCACCGCAGCACCGACCCCCACCGTCGTTTAGATTTTTTATAGTAATAAAAATAATTTAGTTCAGTAAAAGAACAGACACTACAATTAAAAACTGAACGCGGCTGCTCAATGCAGCGTGCCGAACGACAGTCGCATCACAGATCAGATTTCATTTCTCCAGTGAGGAGAGTGAGTCGAGCTGACTGACAAGAAGAGTGAGGTGAGACAGACAAGACGATGGCGGATGATTTAGTTTCGAAACGAAATGTAAAAGCGCCTGTTTGGCAATATTTTGGATTTTGAAAAGCCTGTTGACTTTTGCCGTTTATCTAAGGTGATTTTGGAAGTTTTTTAAAAACATTTGTTTCTTATTTAATTGGTTCCACATTGTTTGCTGATTTTTACTTTATTTAAACTTTGTGTAATTTATTTATTTTATTTGACATCAAGGTGTATGCCGTGCCTCCAAGCTTTCTTATTCGTTTTGCTAATGAACGTTCTACGTTTCTTATTTATTTGGTTCTATATTATACATGTTTACTTATTTCCAGTTTTGTATAGGTTACCTATTTAAACTTTATGTAAGTTATTTGTTATTTTATATTAGGCACAGTCTGCCCTATAGCATGGTGCATTTTTATTCGTTTTGTTAATAAAAGTTCTATGTTTTATATATAGGCTAAAGTAAGTTTGACGTTGTATTTTGTTGTTGCATTCAAGCGATTGACCTGAACTGAAGCTAATTCGAAAGTGAAAGTAAAATGCGCATGCCACTTTTACAAGTTATTTAAAAGTGAAGGAAAGTGAGGGAAAGAGGGAAAATTAAAACTAACTAAAAATGAACAATTGCTTTACGCCGAATTGCCGCTACTTGAAAGTGAAAGTAAAATGTGCACGCCGCTTTTACAAGCTATTTAAAAGCAAAGGAAAGCGAGGAAAAGAGGGAACGCCCCCTCCCCACCGTGATACCGGTATTATCACACGTCGATTAACCGGTGGGAAAATTTCCTCACCGTCACAACCCTAGTCAGAGAGTGATCTAGTGATGATATTGATGAACTGTTGGGCACCACATCTGTCAGCCTGTGTATCTGGTCCAGAAATTTCTTCCAAAGACTGGACTGCATGTTAATGGATTGGCTGCACGACAGATAAAACACTGCAATGGTCAACGTACAAAACAAAGGGCAAGTGGACAAACAATTTGCAGCCTTCAGCAAACGTGTGCATCGCACACAAACAGTCTGAATTCTGTTCAAATTCCTGCAGGGATCTGTTCGACAGAGGCCGTGGACACAAACCAACGGGCCTGCTGAGCCAAAGACTGGAATTTAAGCAACCTTCCTCTTAAAAAACAAAACAAACTTAAATCATAATTTACACACTGCTCCAAAGCCATATAACTTACTTTCTTCTTTTTTAAAGTATGTTTTCACTGCTTTTTTTTTTTCATACAATAAGTAACCAGGGGCTTTCAAGCGGCAAAATAACTAAAAAAAAACAAAAAAAAAAACATTTAACCATTTGAAAAAAAAAAAAGAAAAATAAAGAAACTCTGAAAAATTTATAATTGCAGAATAAAGAAATCCATATCACTTTTGCAATATACCAATACTAAAGTTAATTAAAAATAAAATAAAAAATATATATAACTGATTATAGTTTTTGCTAATATTTTTCATTAGATTATATTCTTCTGTTTTCATTTTCATTTTAGTTACATTTATTTATTGTCTTTTTTTTGGTAACTTTTTAAAAATGTCTATAAAGTTTTTATTAATTTTATTGAAAAATAAGATGACATAATATATTAAAATATTTTTTTATTTTATTTTATTTCAATTAACGTTTATCTCAGATAATGAAAATGTTTTTATAGTTTTAGTTGACAATAATAACCCTGATTGCCATCCTACACAACTCTCAATTCTCATTCTCAAATGTGAAAATATTCAAATGCACATCAAATTGTACAGACTTCTTTTATTGATCTTCATAACCACACATAGAAATAAACAGATTGGAAATTTTGCTAAACAACTTTTTGTTTTTTGTGTTCTGAGGAAGAAAGAGCATCATACAGGTTTGGAACGGACATGAAGGTGAGTAAATAATGACAGACATCTTTAGTTGAACTATCCCTTTAAAACCCTGGAAAGTGACTATATCAATCATACTTTGCTATATGTGAGTGTTCATACATGTAACCACAGCACAGACTCACCAGCCCAGAGTGCCACACATGTAAAAATGCATAACAAGCTCGTACTTCTACTGACCTCAGTGAAAACGCCTGCGATCCCGGCTTGGCACGAGCCATGTTCTTCCCCATAGGTCTTCTTATGGTCTGTGAGAGTGAGTAGGGGGACAGAGAGAGAGAGAGGGGAAGGAAAAAAACAACAGACCACAAATGATTTCGCTGTGAGCCTGAGCCAGCATTTACTGGAGTTCTTCCGACATTCCATATGGAGTTAGTCAAAGTCCCAGCTCCATCCAAGAGGAATCTGGGGGCCGAGAGACAGACTGAGAACGACCTAGCAGCTCTCGCTCAGGAGGGCTTTGAGAACGGGGGGGATCGCTGTGCTCTCCAGTTACAGAAAATATTAGGCTTGGATCCCCCCATAATGCACTGCACACACATAGAAGGCCCCCGATAGCAACTCACTGGAGTCGGGAAAAGATATGGAAGGAAATAAATAACTTGGGAGCTGGACACGGAAACAAATTCTGATCAAGAATTCATGCACCCTCCTTTGCTCTTTCCGCAGCAAATCAAAACATCTTGTAAAATACGAGGAATCCTACCGGGATGATGAAATTCAATGCTGATGGAGGCGTTGAATTTAATATACTACAATAACATCTGTCAGAAGTATAATACGTGATGGGGGGGGAGCGATAAACAGCGAGCGCAAGCCAGTATTGATATTGACGGCTGTTGATTGGCATCCTTAAATGAACCTTTCGGGTTCAATACAAGTTCATTTCTGTGCATCTGTGGCATGCTGTCGATTACCACAGAAAATAATGTTGACTCATTTCTCAGTTGGTAAAAACAAGCAAAAAATAATAATAATGTACTTGGAAAGTCTGTGGGGTAAAGCACAACACTAGGACAAAAACTGAAATATACTCAATTCTGAAAGTATAGCCACAATCCTTAAATATAATACACTGTAATATGAAGCCAGTGTGAGAAAACTCAATATTGCATTCAATATTTCTGACAGACTGAGAACGACCTAGCAGCTCTCGCTCAGGAGGGCTTTGAGAACGGGGGGGATCGCTGTGCTCTCCAGTTACAGAAAATATTAGGCTTGGATCCCCCCATAATGCACTGCACACACATAGAAGGCCCCCGATAGCAACTCACTGGAGTCGGGAAAAGATATGGAAGGAAATAAATAACTTGGGAGCTGGACACGGAAACAAATTCTGATCAAGAATTCATGCACCCTCCTTTGCTCTTTCCGCAGCAAATCAAAACATCTTGTAAAATACGAGGAATCCTACCGGGATGATGAAATTCAATGCTGATGGAGGCGTTGAATTTAATATACTACAATAACATCTGTCAGAAGTATAATACGTGATGGGGGGGAGCGATAAACAGCGAGCGCAAGCCAGTATTGATATTGACGGCTGTTGATTGGCATCCTTAAATGAACCTTTCGGGTTCAATACAAGTTCATTTCTGTGCATCTGTGGCATGCTGTCGATTACCACAGAAAATAATGTTGACTCATTTCTCAGTTGGTAAAAATAAGCAAAAAATAATAATAATGTACTTGGAAAGTCTGTGGGGTAAAGCACAACACTAGGACAAAAACTGAAATATACTCAATTCTGAAAGTATAGCCACAATCCTTAAATATAATACACTGTAATATGAAGCCAGTGTGAGAAAACTCAATATTGCATTCAATATTTCTCCTGTCATGAACATGTAAAGGCTAAACACTTTTGCATGAAAATGCACAAGGAAAAGAGATATTGATGAAGAAAAACTGCCTTAAAAATATCTGTGAATTTTGCTAAAATAAAATAAAAGTTAAATTAAAATTAAAATAAATTTAAAAAACTGAATTGTGCTAAAATGAATAAATGAAATGAATGGTATATAATATTATGCCTCAAATTAAGGTAAAGCTGATTAAATTAAGAACCTTGAACATTATTTAAATGAATGAACGAACAAACAAACAAACAAAACAAACAAGTAAGGGAAGACAAATTCAGGTAAAGCTTACAATTATGAACCTGGAGCATTCCTTTAACAATGAGGGGGTTTTTTTGTGAATTTTTTTATTTTTTGAGATTTCATATGATGGTATACCATACCATCATGTTTTTGTTTTTTGGACATGCACTGTGTTCACAATGTTTGCTGAATAAAGGCTAAACCATCCTTTATCTTGATGTGCAAAGAGTCAAATATTTAGCCATCATATCCCTGAATGTGTTCTCCAAACTCCCAGATGCTGCGCCCTGCCTGACAGGTCATATTTCTCTCCAGTGTGCTGCTTCTTTCTGATTCTGGAGGTGCCAGCACTTTGATGCCAGAAAACATCAGTCTGAGGTTTTGGAGGAAGCTCAGGGTGCCATAACTCATTGTGAAGCCCGTTGTGAACATGTGCCACAGTAAACAGTGTCATCTTTCCAACTTGTTCAGAGGGTTCAAGGCTCGGACTTGGCCGTCATTTCTGTAGTCTGCTTCAGTGGAGTGTGTGCTGGACTTCTAGTGTGATGAAGACCAGAAATTCTCTAACAATAGGGCTGATTATCACTAACTACCTCACAATACATTACACAGTCATACATATCAAAGATTCAATACACACTGTAATGAATCACCGTATCATAGCTGAACCACAATTTCAACCGACATGTAGAGTGACTATGTAGGATCAGTTTCAATCTCTCTCACGCGGTTCACTTGACTTTAGTCCATTATGGCGCCTCATTGGATGTGGCTCTGACCACACTGAGAAACAGCGGTTTCAGAGTTTGTGCTTATTTAGTTGACCTGCTTCTACATTAATTGAACTGGGGTTAAATTCTGGTAATACTTTGGCTTGGAGGTTTGCTCAAATGACTAACCCTAAGTATTAGCAATAGTAATAGTGATGTTTGCGTTATCATTTACCACTAACACATGCTTTCATTGCTGAATAACAGGAAAATACCATCAGTGATACTGAAACTACTGATACAGCACACTGAATGTTATTTTACACAAATCACTGGTAAGTTATATGATTATAGTGATGTTTTTTTAACTAAAACCAAAACTATTAAAAATCTTTTTTAAGTGAAATTGAAATTCTAAAATGTATAGTTCTAAAATTATATTACTTTATATTATTTTGTGTTTTTTGATTTTTAAACATTATATTTCACTTGAATTATTTTTTTGATTTCAATTTTTATTTGTACTTCAACTGAAAATGGAAAAAATTACTTTCTTACTCTTATTTTTGTCGTATTTTCCAAATATCTAAATATAAATCAAGATACATTTACTTGAGAAGCAAATTACTTTACATTACTTCTATACACAGACACACACACACACAAACACACATCAAAATTAAGCAAATTTATGCTTAAAAAAGAAAAACTATCTGCCAATGGAGTCAGATAAATAAACTTAATCCAAAAGGAAAGAAAGATTATTTATTTTTTAAATGTTTTTTTCTCATTTAAGCATACATTTTCTTAATAAATAAATAAAGGTACAAAGGTAAAAAAAACATTAATTAAAGCTAAATCAAATGTTTTTAAAAACAAAAAGCACAGACTAGAATTAAATGCTACAAACTAGAATTAAATACTCTCTCTCTCTCTCTCTCTCTCTATATATACAGTATATATATATATATATATATATACACACACACACACACATTTATAAAATACTATATTATTAAATACTATAATAGTATATAAATAATCCTGAAATGACACTGCAAGAAAGATAACTGAGATGAGTTACAGTTGTAAAGAACGTGCCGTACCTTCATAACACGGTATGAGAGGCTGTGACTTGCCCTGCAGTGTGGCTGGAATGACGGAGCAGTATCCGTGAGGGAGGATATACTCTGATTCATAGTACACATTCTTCCAGCGGTGAGCACAGGCCTGCAGACAATAAAAGAAAAAGGTAATGGTTGAGAGATGAGGACTATAGAAGTCAGTCAGGGTAGGTGGCATATTTAATTTGACTCGAATGGCAGGTACAGGGTAAAAGACCGTACAATTACAACCCATTAAACAGACTCTACAGACCCTTACAGCCTCGGTTTCATTTGCATCCAATTTAATATGGTGTCTACCATGACTAAGGTATATACAGCACACACATCAGATCTTCATCAGCATCGCATAATAACTGCACCAAGAAACAAACAGGATACACAGACAAAACTTTTTCTCTTTTGAGAAAACTTCTGAGGCAAAACTAGAGCACAGAGCCAAGACTGGACACGGCTGTGGATCTAATATATCCACTGAGAGGGGGGTGGTGGTTTTAGAAAGAGGAGCATCTTCATTCAAACAGCTCTGATCTCTGGAACAACAGAAGCGCTGAAGGCTGTGAAGGCAGCCAGAGAGCAGAGAGACACTGAGAGAGAGAGAGAGAGAGAGAGAGAGAGAGA